CTCCAAAAAAAGACATCAGAAAAGGTCAATGTAAGAAACCATGGATGGACTCAGCCACATTGGCAAATGTCAAAAGAAGCACCAGCTTTACAGAAGATGGCGACGGACTAAGACAGAAGAGGACCGCAAAATGTACACCCGAGCAAGCAACCAAGTTAAATGGAGGTGCAAGAAGGCAGTGCAAAGATTGGAGAAAGATATAGCATCTGGAGTCAAGGAAAATCCCAAAGCCTTCTGGTCATACGTTAAGACTAAAACAACCGCTCGAGAAAGTATCGGCAGTCTTATTAAGTCGGATGGAACCACTACTGAAACAGACATAGAAAAAGCCCAAGTACTGCAAGACTTCTTTATTAGTGTGTTCACCCGCGAAGACTTGCAGAATATGCCGACTCCTCCAGAAATTGACTTTGAATCAGCATTAACAAGCTTCGCTGTCGTACCAACAGACGTGTTCGAGTTGCTAAGGAATCTGAAACCAAATAAGTCTCAAGGACCTGATGGATTGCATCCACGTTTACTGCAAAGGTTGGCAGGCGTTCTTGATTTGCCACTTTCACTCTTGTTCAAATTGAGCTTAGAAAAGGGAGAATTACCCTTGGACTGGAAATCAGCTAATGTTACACCCATTTTCAAAAAAGGAAACAAGCAAGAAAGCAGGAACTATAGACCAGTGAGTCTCACATGCGTTGTGTGCAAGATATTTGAGTGCATGGTGAGAAAGCACATCATCAAACACCTATCAACAAATGAGATGTTGTCTGCACACCAACATGGCTTCTTTGCTGGTCGTTCCTGTACCACTCATCTGTTGGAAGTACTCAACGACTGGACACATATCTTAGAAGAGGGAGGTAACATTGATGCAGTTTACATGGACTTTATGAAAGCTTTTGATTCAGTACCCCATTATCGATTGCTGAAGAAAGTTGAAGCCTTTGGCATCCAGGATGAGACACTGGGATGGATCAAAGCATTCTTAGTTGGAAGGAGACAGCGTGTAGTAGTGAAGGGTCAACGGTCGGAATGGTCATCAGTACAGAGTGGAATTCCGCAAGGGAGTGTACTCGGGCCGCTGTTATTCCTGATCTACATAAACGATCTTCCTGATTTCATAGAGTCCAGAATTAAGCTTTTTGCAGACGACACGAAACTGTATGCCAGATGTGACACCGACGAAGATTCCCAGAAATTGCAGGATGATCTGATAAAGATGCAGGAATGGTCAGATACATGGCAGCTTAGATTTCACCCAGAGAAGTGTACTGTGTTGAAAATTGGCAGGTCCCCCTCAAGTTATGATTATCGCATGAAGAATGGCAATGAAACTACAATCCTGAAAGAATCTAAAGTGGAAAGGGATCTTGGTGTGCTTGTTGATTCTAAGCTGACCTTCAAAGACCACATCTCCCATGTTATATCCAGGTCTAACAGGCTACTGGGGGTGATACGAAGATCATTCGCAAACATGGACACGGACACTTTCAAACTCTTGTACATAGGCCTTGTAAGGTCTGTCTTGGAGTACGGACAAGCTGCATGGTCACCATACAGGATAGGTGAACAAAAGAGACTTGAAAGCGTCCAACGAAGAGCTACAAAGATGGTACCTAGACTGAAGAATCTTCCATACAAAACACGTCTGAGATACCTGAAGCTACCGTCTCTTGCCCATTGCAGAAAGAGAAGAGATATGATTGATGTTTACAAGTACCTCCATGGCTTATACACCACTCAGACAAACCTACTACATTTATGCAAGGAAAACAGAACACGAGGCCATACTCTAAAACTAGAGAAGACATTTTCACATGTCGACATCAGGAAATTCTTTTTCTCGAATAGAGTAGTGGACACATGGAATAGCCTATCTGAAGAAGTGGTTAATGCCCCATCTGTAAATGCCTTCAAAAACAAACTCGATAACTATTGGAAGAATTCACCTTCAGTATATGACTTTGAAAGTAAATAGAAGAATGCAGAACTATTCCACCCTCCACACACACACCTCGACACGAAACCACAACAAACAGAAGTATTGATGCAAAGGAATTCAATCGATCGATGAACAGGCTCTGTCCTACCAACATCGATGGATTAAAGTAAAGTAAAGTAAAGTATAACCTGTGTTCTAATTTATCAGTAAGTCGTAATCATTGTGATACTGTTTTTTTATTGAAATACATCAAGAGAAAAAAAAACCTATAATAGTTGGCTGTGATTACAGAGTACCTAATATTGATGTTAATGATTTAAACGAAACACTCACGAGTCTGTTGGCTGACATAAACCCCTTAAATAAAGATGCTTAAATATTTAGTGCTTTCAATATTAACTTACTTAAGCAAGATATTGATCACAAAACTAATGAATTTCTAGATATAATGTTTACATGGGCTATTCCCTACTATAGGTCAAGTCGTGTAACAAGACATTCTGCTTCTGTGATTGATAACATGTTTAACAACTGTAGTCACATGCATCGAAACTGTCGTATCATTTATTCAGATCTTCGGATCATTTACCAATATTTTGTATAAGTGACAATATATTTGTTCCTATTTATTCATTCTATGGTAAACCAAGAGTAATCACCAAAGAAAAGATTTTGTTATTTAAGAATAAGCTACGGTTGATTGACTGGTCGGTAATATATCGTTAAAACAGATGTTACTGTGTCATATGATCTATTTATTCATGAGCTTAGTTCCTTATATTTTGAATGTTTTCCCCTTGCAAAGGTAAAATTGAAAAAAGACGATAAACCTCGGACCACCCATGGTTTTTTAAAATCTATTAAGGGAAAGCAAAATTTATATTGTCGTTATGATGAAGGGTGACACTCATACCCGGAAAAAAAAGTTGAATAAAAACATATTCACAAGTATCATTCGCTGAAGCAAAATTTATTACGAGAACCTATTCCAGGAATTGAGAGGTGATATAAAAAATCTGGTCTCAAATAAACAATTTAATAGGTAAAAGAAAGAAAAAAAAACCATTACCGGCTCAATTGTATTACAATCAGGAAAAGATATTTAACTATTGTTGAAGCGTTTATAGGTATTTTGTTAATATTGGAAGACTACACAAGAAAAGATACCGACTTCTTCCTCTCATTTTCTGAATTATTTATCAAACGGTGTGCCAACTTCACTGTTCTTTAATCCTACTTCCCATACTGAAAAAAAATCAATATTCTTTTATCCATGAAAACATCTGCTGCACCAGGTTCGGACTCTATTAAAATACATTCATACAATTGTTGATCTACTGTGTTAGATCTTCCATGAATTAATGCCACAAGGTTTTAAATTTACACGACGAGAACGTGGACTGTCACGTGTGGCATCATTTTAAGGCAATGTGACGTCCTTTTAGCAGTGCCGGGCAACTAGCTGCCAGTGCCTTACAAAGGACGTCATATTGCCTTAAAGGTACTATGTCCCATTTGCAGGCCCAAAAAATGAAAGGGTAAAATTCCAACGGCATTTGAAAGATAAACTAATTTAGAACTTTCCTAAAATAGGTGGGGCTTTAAAATGTCTTCAAGTGGGAAAACAACGACTATTAGTTGTCAAATCGACATAGGAGCTATAGAGCCAATAAGTAATAGTCTTGATTTTCAGACCAGTGTACCGAATGGTCAAACGTTTTATGACGTGCAAAGATTCAATCAGTTCAATTTTGGACATCACAAGAAGTGGGTTATTAATGTAAACAAATGCTCATGTACCCTTTACAGCATAGTTTATGCATGCTATTACCAAAGAAGAAAAAAAAGCCAGTAAGTCACTCAATAGTGTCTGACAGTGAAGTCTAGCAAGTAAACGCGTTTCCTTGCATAATTTGAATATTAGGACACTGCTAACGTTTAAATTTCACAGATAGGACATACATGACATATTCATAATTCCTGCAGAAGTTCTACAGTATTTGAGGTTGGCTGCAAAAGGGACATAGTACCTTTAAAAGGATGTCACTCGTGGCAGTCCACGTTCACGTCGTGTAAAGCTAAAAGTCCCTAATCTCAAGACCTCTAAGGTAATCCCAATTTACAAAAAAGGTGACAACATGACATTGTTAATTACAAACCATTTGCTCTATTGATTTTTTTTCAAAAAGTTAGAAAGGATAATTTACGACAGGCTATATTAATTGTGTGTACTTAACAAATAATTTGCTGTGGCAAGAAGAAAAAAAACAGAGTTTGTTACAAACTCCTATATCTATGTCTACACAGGGCCACTATAAGACTCATCAAAGAAACCTTGTGCAACCATAAGAACATGTACATTACATGTATGCACTTTGATCCGAACTGCTAATAGGAAACAAGTACAGTAAAACCTGCATTAGCGACCACCTGTGTAGAAAGATCATATTTTTTTGTTTCTTTTGAACAGTGTTTCCAATTGAAACATGTTCTAAAGGAACCTGTACATAAAGACCACATAGCTATTAAGACCTCTTTGTTTGTCTCCCTTGAGTGGTCTTTATATACAAGGTTCACTGTAATAACAACTTTCATGTAAATATGTGTTAAAGACCATTTTTGTGTCTCCTTGGGGTAGGTCTTTCTGTATAGGTTTGATAAATTGTATATGTTTATCATAATATGCAACAGGTAGACATACAGCTTTCATCCCTTCTGTCAAACTTGAGGAAAGATGAATTACATTCTATGTGGACATATCGTTGACATGTTGTGGTCTAGTGGATAAGTCATCGGACTATGGATAACAAGGCCTGTGGTTCGAGTCCGGCCACGGCACTAATGTCCTTTGGCAAGATATTGATATTTGCCACTCTCCACCCAGGTGTTGAATGGGTACCGGTAGGAAGGAATTACTTGAATGTTGTGAGTACCAGAATTAGCTGCCTAGCAGAGCCAGGGTAATAGTTGGAGTGACTTGAGAACCATACATGGTGGATATATGTGCGCTATATAAATATCCAATATTCTTCTTATTATTATTCTTTTCCTTGTTGCTCACCTTTCTACAGTTCAACACTCTCTGGTCCTCTTTTGAGTTGAATCCTTATGGGAACCTGGACTACAGAGCCTTCTTGAAGGAATACGCTGAATGGGAAGATGATGTGTTCCAGGGAGGGATGAGAGCTGGTCCCAGGCCAAAGGTAATAGACCTGGATCTGTGATGAAAGGACTAGGAACTCCTCTTGTTCCCATGACACCCTTGAGCCGTATGGTAAGTCAGTCTGTCTGTCTTTCTCTCTCATATACTATCCCACTGTCCCACCCCCAATCTGTTTTCACCTCCCCCCCCCCCCCCACCCCTCTATATTTCACCTCTCTTTGTCTCCATATACCCCATCCCCCTCATAAAAAGTCTCTCTCTATCTCCCCCTCTCTCTCTCTCTGGCTCTCTCTCTCTCTCTCTCACACACACACACTCTCTTTTTCTCTCTGTCATTTGCGCAAAAAGCTACATAACTTATCTCTGATTTAAACGTGACTTTAAAAGAGATCGTATGGTATATACCAGAAAAAAGTTTAAAAAGTGACATGGAAAATCTTGATTTTGGATCAGGTGATAAATGAGACCTCTATTTTCACCCATTCATTGTTTTATTATTGTTTCACTGTTGTTTGTGTATACTGCAATGGTCAATGATCCACTGAAGCAGCTATTAAATTTTGATAATAAGTGCATCCTATTAATGATAATAATGAAAAAACGCACATCAATGTATTGCGGACATATTCATACCAGGGGATGCTCAAGTCGCCTACAAAGAACAACATGTATTATTATTATCTGCATAAGGCCTCCAAGTGGTACAAGAAATCAGTTATTCAATATCTTTAATCCAGTACCTGGATGACTGATCAATATTGTTATCGTATTGCTCAGTCATCCGGGAATTTCAACTATCGATATCAATATCAATCAAAAACAACGCCATATCTTAAAGTCAAATGTTATTATTTCGCTAGTCAGCTTAAAAAATATAACAATAATAATAATATATAGCTTTGTTTACTTGTGATAAAAGAATATATTGCTCTCGCAATGACAATATTGGACATGTGTTTCCGACTCGTTCAATATTGTCATAGCTTGAGCAATATATTCTTGTATCACACTCAAAGCCATCCAATATCATATAATTACCCTTGCTTTAAGTTTACCAGGGGATGCTCAATTAGGCGCCTACAAAGAACAACATGTATTATTACCCTGGCTTTAACTCAGCTGTCGTAGGATGCTGAACGCATTCTAATCTTAATTCTATTCCTCTTCTCTCATTCCATCACCATGCAGTCCTACACTCCTGCAGGTCGTAGGTCCATGACCCCTCTGGTCAACGCAGAGAACGCGGAGCAGAGGCTGAGGAAGCAGATCCAGAGGCACTGGCAAGAGGTCCACCGCCTCTGCAAGCTCCACGATCTGGACAACTCGGGCGAGGTCGACGTCCAAGCTTTCCGAGGTAAGGATGATAATTGTTGTAATTGAATTCATTGGATAACATGATTGATATATACATGTATACATGTGTGTGGTTTTTCTATATAGAGTTTTGGTGAAATTTCTAAAGATCCTTCTTTCATGTTTTTATCTCAGATATCATGACACAATTCAACGTGACCATATCCTTCGATGACTTCAATAGACTCATGACAAAGTTTGATCTCAAAGAAAACGGAAAGTAAGTTAGCTTTTGTACTTCTGGGTCAGTATTCAATTCAAAACCTAAGTCAGAAATAGGAGTATTTTCACTAAGTTTTCTGCTTAGATAAAATTCGTCAGTTTTGATTTGATGCTTTTGGCTAAGTAGTTTACCCTAATTTTAAGACAGCTCCTGAGGAGATTTCAGCCAAATATTTTTGAAGCATTGATTGGCAGGCTTATGGTTAGCGTGCATTTAATGCGACTCGTAAATTGACTATGTGATGTCACATGTTTATCAGTTAATATTTTGCTCTGAAGTTGGCTTGCGAAAGCAAATTGATTAAATGTGATCTGAGTACAAGTTAAGACATTTCACTCAGCTAAGCCAAATGCTAAGTAAAAGTTTTACTTTAAAAAAGTATCGAACAAAAAACGAGCTCTGAGTTCTAACCTTTATCTATATATATATACCACTTCTATTGGATTCACTTTTATTTCTCTCAATTCGATTCCGTATTCCATCAGGTTTTCCTACCTTGAGTTCTTGAAGCACTTCATGTTGAACCTGAAGAAGATCAACGAGGAACCGGAACAAAGGTCCCTACTCAGCAGAGAGAAGATACACCAGTCTAAGATTGTAGTAAGTTATTTATCCTTACAATTGAATGTCTTTGGAATTACATTACTGAAAAGGTATCGTGGCAATGTGTCATAGTCGAGTAGTTTAAGCACTTAAACTTGAAATCTGAAGGTCGTGGTTCGATCCCTGACACAGCACTAATGTCCTTTGGCAAGGCATTAATCTTCATTTGCCACACTCGACCCAGGTGAGGTAATTGGGTACCTGGCAGGAACTAATTCCTTGAAATGCTGGAGCGCTGTAAAGGCAGCTAGGCTATTAAAGCCGGGGTAACAATAAATGCGCCTCGGAATAGATTTTCTAGATAGACGGCGCTATAGAAATGCCTATTATTATTATTATTATTATTTATGTCTGTGGGATTGTATGTATTTCATTTTAATTTTATTATGTTATATTATGTGGAAAATAAAAGAAACCTTGAAACCTTGAAATAAAGTAAAGATAGCCAAGAATAACCCTGCCTGATATTTAATATTCTATTTGTTTGCACCCACAGATCAAACCTGGAAGCCGGATGTCCGGTGCCATGCTTGAGGCGATGCTGCGAATACGCGACACCATCACAAACAACTGGAAGAAGATGCGACGCACCTTCCGCCTCCTCGACCCGACAGCAGAGGGCGTCATCACGACAAACCGGTTCCGCGACACGCTCCGTCAGTTCAGCATCAATCTGTCCGAGGAGGAGTTCTATCAATTGACGACATACTACGATAAATCCCTCGAAGGCAGAGTCCCCTATAATGATTTCCTTAGAGCTTTCTTGCAGTAATAGTGAAGAACAAAAGACTGAACTCTAAAGTTTTAATACTTTTCTGAGAAATTTCTTGCAGTAGATGTAAGAAACAAAGGAAAGATAAAAACTTGAATATTTCCTACAAGATTTCTTAGGGTAGATATTGGAAGTATTTTCTTTGAACTTTCTTGGAGTGCACGCAAGAAAGGGTGAGTCGGAAAAAAGGAGAGCTGCCTCGCATGAAAAGAAGAAAAGAGAGACATAGATCCATATGCTGAGAGCTTTCTTGAAGTGAGCGCAAGAAACCAGACATTCCAAACTTTTTGTATACTGCGCTCACCTAACTTTTCTCTCAAAAAACAACAAATATGAGAGAAAATGAGATTACAACAAGAAGAATTTGTTTTGTTTTTGTGTGGTGGCTAATTGCATTGTAAATATTGACCGGTAAGCCTCCCTCTTCACTCTATTAAAGACATTCTTGCAGTTTATGCAGAAAAGATATAAAATAAATGATTGAAATCAGTATAAATGTGTCGCAAGATTTATGTGTGATTGATCAACCATCCTATTATATGAATTTGGTTTTCTTGGAAAAAATATATACACCAGTACTTGTCATGGCCTCATTACTGTTAAGTGCTTCAGTGATGCAGCCATACTTAGAAGTATGTATCTATTTCACCTCATCATCACATATTTATGATTATTTATTTAAGTTCAGTTTTTAGATCACTAGTATGTAGAGAGCTGTTGAGACTGGAAGTGCTGCACTGATATAACTGTAAATCATATTTCTGTATAGCTCCCTCTATTCATCAAGACAGGCTAGTTAATATCACCAATACATTTGAAAATATGTACAATATGATATACTTTGTTAAAGAAGGATGATGCAGATGCTGCTAGCGTACAATAGTTATTAATATATAGGACGGAACTAAAGCACAAAGCTCTTCTCCCCTTTTTAGGCTGAATAACGATCGATGCGGTGTAAGGAATCATCTTATGGCTTCGCTTGTCTTTAGTTTCTGTTGTAGCGCACAAAAAATAAAGAGACTGACCAATTTTATTGAAGGGTTTAATTGCGGGAAGCCCCATCATCGTCTTAACCATGAATTTGTTTTAGGGTTAGGTTTAGGGTCAGGGTTAGGGGTTAGAGTAGTCTCAGGGTTAGGCCCTAGGTCCAGGCGAGGGTAAAGGTGAATTACCAACTAAATACATTTTCACTTACTTGCTTACGTAGATGTTGAAAATGTTTTGTATATATGGTTTACTTCTATGTCCTATACTCGTTCCTATTTTAATTACTGAAAGGGTGCGTGCTCTAGACTTGAGCTTCAGCAACAGAGGGCAGCATTATCCTCCTGATATGATGCGGGTTAGAAAAGATCAAACTGTAATAACGTTGCATGTACAAAGCTGCGTGAAAACAGAGAGGCGATTAACATAGTACAGACAAATTTCTAGTTTGTTTGACGTGTTAAGCATTAAATACAATTATTTTTTTACGATCAAGATTGAACACGAGTTTTTAAAACATAATTACATCATAAAGGAAAGTGTGTTCACATTTAGCCTTATTCTTGAATGAACAATTGGTACTTACGTATACACTGTGCCGAACAAATTTAGCTAAGATGTGTATATCTTTCTTGAGATGTTGAGTTAGATATACATTTGAGTGAGATTAAAATAGAATATGAACAAATGTGTTACCGATATTCTCGAACCAAAGGTGGAATGGTGCTCTTGCATTCAGCATTTTCGGCCTTAATATTGTTCTAGTGTTACAAAGATAAGTAATTATATGCCTTAACTATAGTTTATACCACCAAAATAAGTGCTCTTTCTAATCATTCTTCCATGTGCAGTCACACACTTTAATAAGGAGGCAGAAAGAAGCTATATTTTAGCACTAATGTTCTTATATATATTTGATGTAAACACAATTTGATCCTTGATCAAAATATATACTTGAGTTGAATATTCAATTGTGCTTTCTCTTAAACCATTCCGTCCAGATCAATGGCTTTCATTTACTAGGAAATATTTTATTTCTTTCATGCAGATATATACAAGTTTTCGATTCAGAAATATTCATGTAATTTTGAGGGTATTATTGCATATCACCAAACGATTCTTTTTGATGCACTGTGTCATTACAAGATAATGCTTTATTTTTTTCTTCAGAGTTGTATTAAATTTTGTACAAATATGAATAAATATATTGCCTTGTAACTTTTAGAAAAGTGCTGCTTCAAATATTTTATATTTATCCGTCCAACGTGTAAATATTCGCTCGATGACATTATTCATGCAATATAATCGATTTGTCCAAAGCATTTTTCTATTTGTAAGATATTTACATGCATGTTGTGTGAAGAAGTATTGCTGTTTGATCGAATATATATGAACAAATATGGGGGTATGAACAAGCAGAAATCTCACAGTTCTTGTGTATGACACAATATATGTTTTTTGTAATGTGCCAGTAGCTAGTTGAGAGTAGTGATTTGGTAGTACAAATATACACTATACTAGAACTAATACACTGAGATGTGCAAGTATATACCGAGATGTGCACATATACACCTGTTTACACTATATGTGATTTTAATCAAAGAAGATACGCATCGCCCCTTTTTGACATGTCATATTTTCATTAACTTTGAGAAACACGAGCATTAGATCAATTTTGATACATCTAATTGTAATTATAATACACATACATGGTTTCTTGATGCAATGCTTTTGAGCATAAATTACAACATGTTGCATAATTCATTTTTTGTGTGTACAATTTATGATAATACTTTTCATCTTTGACCTAAAAAGATTCAATTTGATGTTTTTATCTTTGCATGCTTGATGTAAATTTGTTTATGCTGTGAAATGATTGTCTACAGTGTGTACAGGATACAGAATCTCACCTGGTGAATTATACGTTGGTTTTTAAGGGTCCTGATTGGTTGGTTAGGTCAATGCACTTTTAAACTTATTGTTCCCCTTCGTTGAATTACATGTACAGGGGCTGTTACTAGGCGGTGCTCTTATCCTATGTAATTTCTACAGATTTTGCTTTGTGTGTCAGTGAACAATATTTGCTTCATAATACTTGAATAGTCCTTTAAACTGGGCGATATTTGATTTGTATTATTTGAGAATAAAAGGGCAGATTTAAGCATTTATTAACATTCAATCCGTCCTAAGATTCAACAGCAAACATCATTATTTAGTATTTTTAAAAGTATTTTTGGAATATAACATGGATCTAAATGTTTTAATGAATCACACAAATAAGCCAAAATAATTGCTTATTGGACATCATGAACTTGAGAAAGATAAGATTGGTAAACTGGTAAAATGTATAAGTTATTCTGGTCAATAGGTAGATCTGTTGAAGATTCTTACATTTGTATGTATAGTCTGTTTGGAGTCAAAAGGGCATTAACTCATATACTTTAACAGAGTTACATGTAATGTCCTTCTGGCTCTGAACAGATGGTGTGCTTTTGAGTGTACAGCATACCTCACAAAACATGTTCTGAATTGCCTGCATTTTTGCAAAATCCCTCAACAAATTATTGTTTTCGACTTTTTCTCCTACTTCTCAAGAATTCTCGTAAGATTCATAATTGTTTTGATCTTGACCATGATAATACAGTCTGTTTATAGCCCAACGGATGTTAACTCTGCGGTAAGGGATAACATGGATAAATGCCCTTTTGGCTTTTAGCAGGAAAAACTAAAAACTGGTTGTTTAACATTCGAACCATAGCTTTTTTCAAATACTGTGGTTTAACTTTAATAGTACTACTATACGGTTCTATATTTCCATGGTTATTTAAATTTACTTGATTAAAATAGATTTCTTGTAGTTTGCAGTTGCAATGTATGTTCATGCTTAAAAAATCACACCCCCCGTATATGTGTATATTTATCTATGTGCTGTAAATAAAGAGAAACTTAACTCTAGATTTGACTGTTGAAGAATATTTCTTTTGCTTCATAGTATAACAGGCTAGGTTAATTGAAGGATTGACATGAATGATTTGTTTTAAATGCCTACGGGCCCGACCCCCCTCCCCCGCAAAGAAAAAAGGTTTAAAAAATAAGATGGTAAAGTTAATTTAACCTTTTAAAAAGACAAATCAAAGCCCCCCCCCCCCCCCTTGAGCGCCGGGGGGGGGGGGGCTACAACTGATAGAATGAAAACAATATAAACAAATGTGGAGATTTATGCATAATAATTCAATTTCAGTTACATGTATCATATTTTAATATATAAGCAATGGACATTCACCGGTAAGATCTGCAGACTTATGCACGAAAATTCAATCTCAGTATGATATGAAATGAAATATTTAAGTAACATTTACCATTATAATGCGTAGACTTAATCCCAAAAATGCCAAACTCAGTATGAAATTGCATGAAAATTGTATACAATAAATACTCACTATAATGCTATGCAGACTTAAACTCAAAATCCACTCTCAGTATAATATCACTTAAAATATATGCAACTGCCATTTACCACTGCAATGTGCAGACTTATTTAGAAAGAAACAAACTTAGAATGATATTACATGCAAAATATATACGCATTGAATTATCACCATTATGATTGGCAGACTTATGCACAAACAAAATGCACTTTGAGAGGGCCTGAAGTCCTGAAAAGCGCAATATAAGAACAAATTATTATTGTTTAATTTTTTTATTTTTTTACATGAAATGGACATTAACCATTATAATGTGTAGACTTGAGCAAACATCGAATTTAAGTTTGATATAACATGAAATATTAACGGAGTGGAAATTTATCATTGTAATGTGACGAGTTATGCACAAAAACCCAATCTCAGTATGATATCGAATGAAACATATATATGTGAATTGGACTATTACCATTATGATGTTTAGAATTATGCACAAAAAATCCGAACTCAGTATGACATCATTTGAAACATTTATGCAATGGATACTAACATTTGAAATGTGCAAACTTATGTGCAAAAATCAAATATCAGTATTTTATCATATAAAACATGTTTGTACATTGGACCATCGCCGTC